TGATTTGGCTGACTAATCGATTAATCGAAAAAACAATCAACAGATTAATCGATTATTAAAATAATCGTTAGTTGCAGCCCTAAAGACATGCTTGTAGTTTAAGGAACTGGTTGGATTCATCAGGTTTCATGGATAAATATAACTGAGTGTCATCAGCATAACAATGGACATTTATCCCATGCTGTTTGATAACTTTACCTAAAGGAAGCATTTATAAAGTAAAGAGGATTGGTCCAAGCACTGAACCCTGAGGAACTCCATGACTGACTCTGGTTTAAGAAGTTTCATTATTAACATTAATACATTGTTGGGACATTGTATAAAACATAAATAAAAGCAATATTAACAAATCATTTTCAGCCTAGTTTCAACTGAATACACTACAAAGTTTAAACTGATCAATTTTATTGTTCTTTTATATTAGGGTTGTATTTTAAAATATTTGCAATTGCTATTATTTTCTATATATGTTATATAATTTCATCTAGAGTTTTTCTCCTTCTTAAATTAGTGTTTTTCTTCTTTTAACTATAAACTTAATTTTCAGCATAATGTCTGCTTTAAGAACACATACAGTACAGTAGCATAATGCTGTTCCTGCATGTAAAACCTTTTTATTGCAGTCTGGCTTCTTCTGAGCCGGGAAGATTTTACAACCGTTGTTCTCCAGTCAACACTCAATTTTCTGCACCATCACATGAGAAATATTTTGAGGGTATTAGTCTGTCAATGATAAGTGAGCAGAAAGTGAGTTTGGTAGTGAGACAACAAACCTACACAGACGAATTGTTCTAACAAAGAACGACGAGTCATCATTTGACAAATGTTAATGTCCAAGATGGACCTAATCCAAAATAAATGTAGTGAGCAGTCTGTCTGAGAAAATGTATGCATTCCTGTCAATGCTTTGAAGGAATAAAGAAATGGGGTTTAATCATCCTAGCTGATCTTTATGTTTTTACTTTCAAAACATTTATGACATTTTATTTTGTAATTTTTTTGTAAACCAAAAATAGTGGTGGGGCGGCGCCCTAGCGCCCCCATTGACCGGCCGTCACTGGGCAAAACTTTCTGGAAACTCCCTCATGAATGGTTTACCATTTTGTAGTAAACTATCTTACTAGGTTTTTATACTGTGAGTTTATATGAAACAACAATCTGAGGGCGTATTTTAGTACAAATAAGGTTGCTAATTTGTCACAGGTTATTACAATATTATAGCTCTTTAAAACATTACTTAAATGTAAACTTTTTCTTTTACAGAATCATTAGATTACGATGAAAGACACACCACCACTGACAGGAAAACTGATGCCACCAGCACTGAAAAAGTTGACACTGAGCAGCAACAAAATTTCAAACCAATCAACTCCTCAAGAGGTAAGAAAGACTATACTGACTTACATCATTTACGTAAAGAAAACTGTTTAACTGACTAGCTAAAGTTATTATTATTCCTAATAGAAGTAAGTTTTAAGCACAGTGAAAGAATGCTGTTACACTGTAAACATTGATTCCTGTAGATGAGTGCTCGTTGGTTTGAAGTGCAGAAGGTAAAGGAGTTTAGATTACAAGTCTGTGCAAACATGATGAAAAAAATTAATGTGACAAATCAAACATCAAACAGTGCAAAGTCAATCTCCATGTACAGGTTAGAGAATAAAAAATAATTTCAGGCAGTCACACGCAAAAGATGACCATCGACTAACAATGGACTTGATTAATTCTACTGTTCATAGAGGGTCTTGTGTCCCATCACCTGACTTATTGGTTTGGATGCTTTGGCTGTGGTTATTTGGTGTTTTGTTATGTTTATGTAGTGAGTGCAAGCGGTGGTTCAACGTCCCCTTGTTTTTGTCCCTCTTTGTGTTGGTATCATTGGGACCCTGATTCACACCTTTTGCTCACAGGGGGCGGAGTCATACTTGCAATAACAGCGTTGTAGAAGAAGGACAACTGGACATAATGGTGGCGGGGAGTGAAAGTAGGGAGGCAGGGGAAAAACAGGAAAGACCCGACAATATCCCCTGGACTATGGGCGAGCTGATCCGTTTCCCCGGACTGGACAGATGTCCACAAAATGACCCTTGTTCCCACAGTAAATACAAACTTTTGCAGCAAAACGCCGCTGTCTTTCCTCAGGTGTTAAACGAGTTCACCCCACCTGCATTGGTTCTGGTTCTGTTTCTGCAGGGGATAGATGTTGATTGGTGGAACTCTCAGCAATTGGGCAGGTACAAGAAACCAAGGTATTATGAGAAATGAAGTCCTTTTCTCTGTATCACTCTCTAAGTTGATTGTTGATCCGAATAGCCAACGTGATTGACTCGTCCAAACTTCCTGGCTCATCTCTAGTAGCTAGTTGGCCTTTTATTTGTTCTGATAAAGAGTTTAAGAAAGTACCTCTAAAGGTCTCGACACACGGGAGGCGACGTCGCTCTCTCTCCATTCATTTCCTATGGAGCCTGTGCGGTGAGGCGACAATCACTCGCCCTCCTCCAGCTAAGCGACCGGTGAAAATAGTGCATGTGAAATTTYGCGCTCGTACACGTAGACGTGCATACGCAAGCTTGCGACGCGACATATGAAAGTAGAAAAATGTTCAACTTTTGTCACTGTCGCTTAGCGTACAACCAATCAGCGAGGGTTTCATTGACTGACCAATGAGAGGAGAGTATGCTACACACTGCAGTTAGCTAACACTTTCACCAAGTGATTACTAAAAAGCTTTGTGGGAATTTGTTGGCACCAGGGTGAAGTTATCCGGTACGTTTTTCCTCATAAAATTGCATCTTGGTGTGTGTTTGTTTTTTAATATCATTAGCATCGTAAGATTTGTTTAGTTTACACGTCCGTAATGAACACACCCCTTTTCTGTGAACCACCAATAACCTTTACAAGAGGCAGTAGGAGAACCAATCAAATTTCATGAAGACAAGTGACCTGAGAGCGTGATTCACAACGCTGCCATCGCTATCACGTCCCGTGTGTCAGGTTTCACCCTGGCTGTGATGACAGCCGTTAATCGCTGTAGTTTGTCGCTCCCCGTGTGTCGAGCCCTTAAGGGAGAGTTCGTCCCAACCACTCTCTTCAGCGATTATGCGGAAGTCGATAGAATGGTCTGAAACTGATTTCCGCCCTTCAGAGTTAGGAGTCGTTTTGCTGCTTCCTGCTACTGGAAGGGGTGATCGAACACTTTCTGGGATTCCTGGATAAACAACTGAGAGGTGAGAGTTTGCAGAGAGTGTGCTGACAAAAACACTTGAGCCCAACGGAGTGCTTTTCCTTTTAGCGCAGAGACAATGTACTTGATACGAGAGGAGTCAGAGGGAAATAGAGAAGGGCAACGAGAGAAGGCTAAGCACCATTGTAGTAAGAAACCTCCACAATGGTCTGGATTACCTTCAAACAGTTCAGAAGGACGTAGATCTGGTTCACGGACTGGGAATGATCGGTGCATTTATTGAAAAGCAGAGGCGACTGGACTGACAGGAGCGGAAGGCAATAAAGTACCCAGTTGATCATCTATGGCGACAACATAGTGAGTTACTCAAATTAACGTACTGGTTTCTTGTTGTAACTGGAAGAGTTGTTGAAACATATTTTCATAATTCATAAAACTAGGCTCTTATGGGTTGGGAGTCTTGACTGCTACCAGGACTGCTTTGACATTTTGAATGGTTTAAGCGTACTATCAGAATTAACAAGTTTGTCAAAGTATGAGAAGTTGGTAACAGACAGATCACCAAGAGTTAGATTAACAAAAGGTAAGTGATTTTATTTACAGGTGAGATGTTTGCAGGATCCAGATTGATGCTGAAAGGGAAGAGAACTGGTGAGTTTCTTCAGATAATTGTTTGGTGGATATCTTTGGAATAGAAGAAGGTTTCTCTTACAGGTTATGGAGTGAGGCATGGCACTGAGAGGAGGCTCCAGGTCCAGTAATCCAAACAGAGGCAGGTTAGTGAGCAGGTGAGTGTTCTGAGTTTAGTTGGAGGCAGACAGGCAGCACCACAACAGCAGTTCAGGTGAGTAACTCTTGTACAGGTAAGTACTGGCAGGCAGATGAGGATAATCCAGGACACAGATTGAGGGAGATTTCCTGAACACAGGGAAAGACACAGGTAAGTATAACTCAGGTAAATAATAACACTGAGGGGCTGAGAGTGCTGTGCCCAAGAGCAAGCAACGCTTCAGTGAAGAACTGATCCTTAGGCCAGCCTTATAATGTCAGAGAGTTGATTACAGGGAACTTGATGCAGCTGTGGGTGATAATTTGTCAACCAATCAGAACAGCAGGTAACAACAAACAAAAAGGCCTCACTAATAGTGTTTTGCCCATCTTTTTAACTTAGTCACATGGTGGGTTACTTACGTCATACTACACATTATAAAGGCAAAGATTTTATGTACTCCAGAAAGGGTGTCCACTTGTGAAATACAATCACTGTTGACCAAAGTGCTGTACACTAATGAAAGGAAGCCAAAAACATCAGAATTAGAGACAAGAATCAAATCTACAAAATCCAATAAAAATTAAAACTGCAAGCAGTGATAAAGGGCCCGTGTGCACAGAGGCGATCTGGATTATCATACAAAAAAATAAAGCAGTCGCCTGTCCGTCTTGAGATTTTTTTTCAAACACTAAGAAGTATTTTTTACTGGTGGCACAGTGGTGAATGTAAGACATGGCCATGTACAAGACTTGATGCCGATTTGTCATGGAAACTTATTGCAAATTTCGAAAAATTTGCAATGAGATGTGAAAATGAGCTGACAAAAAACACTCTCTCCCACACCAATTAGATTAACCAGCAACCATTGATGATTCTTGGTTTCTCAAAGGGTCTAACTTTACAGTGCAATTTTGAAGTTGCTAGGACAAAAGGTTTGAGTGGGAGATTTTTTGTTAGCAGAACGGTTCTGTGGACAGCACCACTGCATCACAGCAAACAGGTTCTGGGTTTGATCCCCTGTTGGGACCTGGGGTTTTTCTGTGCAGCGTTTACATGTAGGTATGGGTCATAAGAGAGGCTGTTTAGACGGTGCTAGAGAACTTGCTTGTCTATAATTTTATTTCTAATCTCCTGAGACAACCCTTTCCTTCACTTCCTATGGTCCATGTTGAGTAAGGTACACACCATGTCACCAAACAACACAGTGAGTATCTGTAGCCTTATCTGCAGGCCCACTAACTGATTACAAGATTGTAGACACCTGTGGTGATAATTAGTGGACACGCCTTGATATAACATGTCCCTTTGGTCACATTATTTTCAGGGGTACCACCATTTCTGTCCAGGCCTGTTTCAGGAGTTTAGTTATTTTTAATTCTGTTGTGGCATGGTTGAAAAGTAATGTCTGACTTTCATTTTACATTATCCTGTAAAAAAGCAGCAGAGTTCTGGAAGAACATTCTTTGGACAGATGAAACCAGATCAAGCTGTAGCAGAATGATGGACCTGGTCCAGGTCCTGATCCAAAGCACCACATCATGTGTAAATCTGGTTCTGGTTCTACAGCATCTGGTTCTGGTTCTACAGCTCTGGTTCTGGTTCTACAGTGTCTGGTTCTGGCTCTATAGCTCTGGTTCTGGTTCTACAGCATCTGGTTCTGGTTCTACAGCTCTGGTTCTGGTTCAACAGCTCTGGTTCTGGTTCAACAGCTCTGGTTCTGGTTCAACAGCTCTGGTTCTGGTTCTGGTTCTGGTTCAACAGCTCTGGTTCTGGTTCTGGTTCCACAGTGTCTGGTGATGTCCATGAGTTCAACACTTATGCAGTCATTGACAACAAAGGCTTTTCAACCAAGTACTAGAAATGAACATTTTATTTACAGTGATTGAATCTGTCCAATGAGTTTAGAGCCTCTGAAATGAAGAGATTGTGTTTAAAAGATGCTTTAGTTCCTCATATTTTTAAACAATCATTTTGTTCAACCCACTGAATTAAAGCTGAAAGTCTGAACTTCAACTGCATCTGAAGTGTTTTGTTTAAATTCATTGTGGGAATGTCTACAACAACTCTTGTTGTGACTTGGTGCTATATAAATAAACTGAACTGAATTTAATTGAATGTCCCCTTTAAGACCAAAGCATTGCACCTCGACTGAATGTTGTGAAATGTGAAAAAAGGTTTTAAAGCATGATATGTCGACTTTAATTGCTCACTGACCTGACCTGGCCTGTAAAGAGTGTGGGGACAGCAAAGTGAGTCATGGATCTTAAACCTCAAGGAGAAATAACCACTAACACTGTCATTTACCTAATAGTTTCAGTAAAGTGGGTATTATTACATTATTTATGCTAATTAGTACATTATCACTGGTATTGATACAGTTCTCACTGCATCCCATTATCCTTGAGCTGGCTGGACATTGAGATGCCACCTGCAGGTCCTCGGATAACTTTGAAAAGTATTTGTAGTTTGTTTATTGTTTGTAGAAAGAGCTCTGCTTTAGACAGAGGTGATGTTTGGAGTTACCACATGAAGTTATGAAAGTAAACTCAAAAGTCTCAGTGTTTTTTTGTGCATACTACCAGTGGTATTGCTTTGTACTCTATTGATCACATTATTTGTTTAAAGGATAAACTAGATTCTAAACTTAGTGGAAAGTTAGACTTAATACATTTTCAGTAATGTTGCAGCCAGGCAGAAAAAACATTTAAAAAAGTCAAAGCAATGTTTGTAAAAGGTTTAAGTTTATTAAAAATGACCTTTCTTTCTATAGCAGCAGATGGAAGGCACACTTTCAAATCAAGACAAATCTCCACCAAAGAAGAAAAAAACTCCTTCAGAGACAGCTACTTTGGATTCAGCCGTTTCATTTAAGGCCACAGCTGCAAGTATGTCAATTGTACAAAGTGTTGGGGTCTTGTTTAAAATGCACATTAATTTGGGGTGGAGTAGAGGTGAAATGGGG